GCAGGAGAAGAGAATCCATCCCAAAGATGTACAACCAGAAAAAAAAAACAGGATTCAAAATTGAAGGATTGGTTCAAAAATTCTGCTCCCAGGTCCTGAAGGGTTTTGGAGCTGAGGAGTGGAAATCCAGAGGGATCCAAAGTTTCGGTGGTCAGGAGGGTGTTTTCATCCCATCCCATTCCCACCAGGAAAATCCGCAGGGAGAGTCCTCCAGGGACTTGCCCAAATCCAAGCATTCCTCCTCCTCCCAGGATTCAGGGATTAATCTCCTCCTTGCAAAGGTTACAGGCGTTGCAGGGGTGGGTTATTCCCACCGGGAATGTGCTGCTGGATTCCCTCCTTGGGCCTTGCTTCCCCTTTTTCCTCTGCCAACCCCATTTCTTTGGGATCAGGTGGGGCTGTGGAACCCTAAATGGTGGATCCCTAAAACATACCCACATGTTTTCCTGGGAAAACGGGATTGGCAGAGCGTGACCTTTTCCCAGAACCAACTCCACATATTTTCCTGGGAAAACAGGGCTGGCAGAGAGTATGGCCTTTTCCCAACTCCACATATTTTCCTGGGAAAACGGGGCTGGCAGAGCGTGGCCTTTTCCCAACTCCACATATTTTCCTGGGAAAATGGGGCTGGCAGAGTGTGGCCTTTTCCCAACTCCACACATTTTCCTGGGAAAACAGGGCTGGCAGAGAGTGTGGCCTTTTCCCAACTCCACATATTTTCCTGGGAAAATGGGGCTGGCAGAGAGTGTGGCCTTTTCCCACAACCAACCCCACACATTTTCCTGAGAAAACGGGGCTGGCAGAGAGCGTGGCCTTTTCCCAACTCCACATGTTTTCCTAGGAAAACAGGGCTGGCAGAGAGTGTGGCCTTTTCCCAACTCCACATGTTTTCCTGGGAAAACGGGGCTGGGAGAGTGTGGCCTTTTCCCAACTCCACATATTTTCCTGGGAAAACAGGGCTGGCAGAGAGCGTGGCCTTTTCCCAACTCCACACGTTTTCCTGGGAAAACGGGGCTGGGAGAGTGTGGCCTTTTCCCAACTCCACACATTTTCCTGGGAAAACAGGGCTGGCAGAGAGTGTGGCCTTTTCCCAACTCCACATGTTTTCCTGGGAAAACGGGGCTGGGAGAGAGTGTGGCCTTTTCCCACAACCAATTCCACACATTTTCCTGAGAAAACGGGGCTGGCAGAGAGTGTGGCCTTTTCCCAACTCCACATGTTTTCCTGGGAAAACGGGGCTGGCAGAGCGTGACCTTTTCCCAACTCCACATATTTTCCTGGGAAAACGGGACTGGCAGAGCGTGGCCTTTTCCCAGCTCCACATATTTTCCTGGGAAAACGGGGCTGGGAGATTGTGGCCTTTTCCCAACTCCACATATTTTCCTGGGAAAACGGGACTGGCAGAGCGTGGCCTTTTCCCAGCTCCACATATTTTCCTGGGAAAACGGGGCTGGGAGAGTGTGGCCTTTTCCCAACTCCACACGTTTTCCTGGGAAAACAGGACTGGGAGTGTGGCCTTTTCCCAACTCCACATATTTTCCTGGGAAAACGGGGCTGGCAGAGAGCGTGGCCTTTTCCCAACTCCACATGTTTTCCTGGGAAAACGGGACTGGCAGAGAGCGCGGCCTTTTCCCACCTGGATCCGACATGTGAGTGGGATTTGGGGGGTTTCTTCCTGCAGCCTCCTGCCTACAGCCCATGGATGAGGGATCCTGCCAGGATTATTCCCTGCTCTGGTACTTCCACCCCGAGGCCAAGGCCTGCAGACCCTTCATTTTCGGGGGATGCCGAGGGAACGGGAATCGCTTCCCATCCCGGCGGGAATGCGAGCAGCACTGCGGAGCCTCGGCAGGTAAGGCAGCCCCACAACCCTCCAAATCCAGCCAGGAGGGAGGGAAAAGCAGGAAAACCTGGATCACCAAATGGGATCCTGGATCACCAACTGTGACCCAAGATCACCAAATGGTTTCCTGGATTACCAAATGGGATCCTGGATCACCAACTGTAGTCCTGGATCACCCAATGTATCTTGGATCACCAGCTGTGACCCTGGATCACCCAGTGGGATCTTGGATCGCCAAATGGGATCCTGGATCACCCAATGGGATCCCGGATCACCAGCTGTGACCCTGGGTCACCAAATGGGATCCTGAATCACCAAATGGGATCCTAGGTCATCCAATGGGATCCTGGATCAACCAGTGGAATCCTGGATTGCCAAATGGGTTCCTGGATCACCAAATGGATCTTGGAAAATCCCTCCATGGCCATCCCAACCATCCCACCCCAATTGCCTTGCGGGGCCTCACCGGGATCGGGATAATGCTTGGAGCAGTATCCCTAATTTCCAAGGGGCAACCACTTCCCATCCCGACAGGAATGCAAGTGGCACTGTGGAGCCTCGGCAGGTAAGGCAGCCCCTGGAGTTCTCCAAATCCAGCCAGGAGGGAGGGAAAAGCAGGAAAACCCCTCCATGGCCATTCCAGTCATCCCACTCCCATTGCCTTCCCCTCACCGGGATCGGGAGAAGGCTCGGAGCGGCGTCCCTGATTTCCAAGGGTTTGTTCCCTACCAATCCCCGCTGGCTTTGATCCCTTTCCAGGAGCTCCTGGATGTCCCCTCCCTTGGACCACTTCCAGAAAAGCAGGAAAACCCTTCTGTGGCCCTCCCAACCATCCCACTCCCACTGCCTTGCCCTCACCAGGATCGGGAGAAGACTTGGAGTAGTTGGAGCAGTGTCCCTAATTTCCAAGGGTTTGTTCCCCCTCCCATTCCCAGCTGGCTTTGATCCCCTTCCAGGAGCTCCTGGATGTCCCCTCCCTTGGGCCACTTCCACTGGTGGCCCTGTGGGTGATAAGGCAACCCCCAAACCGTCCTCCAAATCCATCCAGGAGGGAGGGAAAAGCAGGAAAACCCCTCCGTGGCCATCCCAGTCATCCCACTCCCACTGCCTTGCCCTCACCGGGATCGGGAGAAGGCTCGGAGTGCTGTCCCTAATTTCCAAGGATTTGTTCCCCTCTCATTCCCAGCTGGTTTTAATCCCCTTCCAGGACCTCCTGGATGTCCCCTCCCTTGGGCCACTTCCACTGGTGGCCCTGTG